CCCCAAAACCCCAAAACCCCAAAACCCCAAAACCCCAAAACCCCAAAACCCCAAAATTATTTTATTATAGAAATAAATTTTGAATTTAAATGAGTGAGAGTGACGAGCCTCTACCGCTGAGACATCTTGGTATGTATTTAATAGCATAATAACCCTCTAACTACTGAATAGTTCTACATTTCGATCTGAACAAGACCATCCTGACTAGAGACCCATATGACCATATTGACTCAACAGAGATCTTCTTGTGAGACACTATCTGAAGAATGGCATGGGGAGAAGTTACATTCACAGACGAGGAACAGCAAAAAGATGAAGAACTTGATGAACAGCAAAGGGCTGATAAGTACCTTGCAGCAACTTGGACCTTGAAATCAGAAGATCTTACACAAGATTCACCTGAAGAAAGTCTGATTAGCTATAGACAATACCTTGACATCTGCCACCCATTTAAAAGACCAGAGAACGATGAAGAGTTTCAGGATCAAACTGAACGAAACAAGAAAATTCTTGACTTTCTCTCTGACCAAGGGAGTATTTTTAAGAAACAGTATGATATCCTACATGAGAAAATGAAGCTCCCTGCTGACGCCAAGGTTGATGAAAACATCACTGGGGACTTCAAGCAAGCTTACGATGTTGGAAGGTTTAACATCATTCCAGGCTTCTTTAAAACTTTGAAGGCGCTCAGTGATCAAAAGAGATCATTTTCCTTAGCTTTCAGAACACATGGAAGAGAACTTAGGAATGTAATTGACGAGTTCAATAACTTTTGTGAAGGAAAGCATCCTGCTTATAATGGGCATTCAGGCGAGCAAATCTTTTTCAATGGAACCAAATCCAGAGATCTGAGGATCAAAGACAGACAAACAGGGATGTACTTCAGATTTGGAAGGGAACTCTCTGATGTAAACCTCATCATGAACAGCTTGGAAAGAATTCAGTGTAATAACATGGATGACCTCCTTGACGGGTACGGTAGACAAATCGAAGAAGGTACTGTCGCTCATTATTCAGACTCTATTGAGGAGAATTACATGGTAATAATGGACACTCTCAAGAAATATGGATCTCTCGCGCTTCATGATGACTTTTATGCCTACTATCTCAATAAGGATGACAATGATTTTGGAAAATTATTCTTAGTTGATCAAACAGATTTTACAACCCAGCATATTTTCTTTGATGATATGGCAGTTGAAGGGCCAACTTCGAATATTGATATTAGGGATATCTCTACAATGGAAAAAGTTCCTGAGAGGAAATTCAGAGACAAATACGTTGTAAGAGCTAATATCTATGAAGCCATTAAAGATGAAGACTACTTCCTGAAAACTATCGCTAAATGTGAAAGAGCAAGAGACAGAGAAATAGAAAGACTCCAGGATGGTATTCTATCATCTGAGGATGAAGAAGAGGAGATTCCTGAGGATAAATGGGAAACTTTACAAAATTTACCAAATGAAGAATATCTCGTAAAGACCATAGCTCCTCTGTTATATCAGGGACTAAACTTCATCTCGACTGAGAGACCGACTAACCCTATTGAGTTCCTTGCATTATATATGCTGCAGAACAAACATTTGGTTGATATTCCCAAGCCACAAGTTCCTGAAGCTGAAGGAGAGTAGAATATTTTCAATTATATCGTCAAGATTGGGGTTTTGGGGTTTTGGGGTTTTGGGGTTTTGGGG